TGGAAAAGGGGAAAAAAGAGAGTGGAAAAGGGGAAAAAAGAGAGTGGAAAAGGGGAAAAAAGAGAGTGGAAAAGGGGAAAAAAGAGAGTGGAAAAAGGGAAAAAAGAGAGTGGAAAAGGGGAAAAAAGAGAGTGGAAAAGGGAGAAAAGAGAGTGGAAAAGGGGAAAAAATAGAGTGGAAAAAGGGAAAAAAGAGAGTGGAAAAGGGAGAAAAAAAGATTGGAAAAGGGGAAAAAAGAGAGAAAAGCCATTTACCTTTGGTTTTCATTGCACTTCACAGCTCTCAGGTACCGAACAACTTCCTTATACCTGGGGAGAAAAACAGAAGATGAGAAGGAAGGGGAAGGAAATGCAAAACTGTGCCCAGGGCAAACATTTCCTACAATGAAAGAAGCAAAGCAGGAGAGCTTCCCACACAAGAGACATTGCACAGCAGGACAGAAATACAGAAATGCAGCTGGAAATAAACTCCTAGAGGTTATTCCCAGATTATCTCAGCTCTGGCAAAAGAAAACCAGAGGTTGCCTTGCAGCTGAATTCTTTAAGTGGACTGGATTCTTTGGAATATTGGATTTTCTGGAGCACAACCCTCTGAAGACCCAGAACATCTTCTTGCCAGCCTTTGACGAAGAGGAATTGCTTGGAAAATCAACATTATGGAGAGACAGAAATGAGCCACTCCAGCGACCTTTTTTTGGTCCTGAGGCATTCAAAGGGCTTTGTTGAGAAGAAAAACAAAAATAGAAAAAAAGTTTGTTTTGTGTTTCCCCATTACACCAAAGTAAAGAGCTTTGGAGCAGTCAAAATGTAAGAATTGAGTTGTCAAAGTGAAAAAAGTCAAACCAATCTCACTTTTTTTTCTCCAGGAGTTTCTCCACTCGAGCCTCCACAACAGGGAGTGCTTCCCACAGGTACGTTTTCCTCCCTTTCTGTCTCCTCTGCCCAGTGATGTTCTGGCCTTTTAAAACTGTGGTCAGTGACGTGTGGTCCCAGGGCAAAACATTCAAGCTGGAAGGATAAAAACAAAGTAATTTTTAAGTGTGTTTTGCTGCACACTCATTAGCTCCGTTAAGGATTGCGAAGTTTGATTAATAAAATATTTTTGGGTTTAGAGCTCAGTTCTGGGGGAAAGAAAATAAATTCAGGGAGAACAGCTCAGTCATGGCATCCAACAACAAACAGGGAAAGCAGCAAATCCTGAAATATTCCTCTAAAATGCTCCCACTTTTATTATTATCAGGGAAAGAACATCCCTCTTTTATTATTATCAGGCCCAAGAACTCACCTGTTTGAGAAGGCATAGCAGTGGCAGGGAAGGGAGATGGACTGGAAAAACTCAACAAACTTTTCATACAGAATTTTTGGGAAGTCACACAACACCAGCATCCTCTGAAGTCGGGTTGTGATCCTGTGATTTGAAAGGAAAAATAATTCAAAAAGGGTATTTTAAAATGAGGTGAGTTACTAGCAAGTTGTCTTTTTTAATCATATGGGAAACTGCACAAGTTTGGAGGGTTTTTTTTTTTTGTTGTTTGTTTGGATCTGTATTTGAATTTCTGGTTGAAGTTTTGTAGTGAGTATTGAAATTATTATTGTGCTGTTATTTTTAAACCAAGGTTCTGTGGTTTTAAAGATCTCCAAGGAATGTGTACAACAAACACTTCAAACTGTGCTGGGCCTGAGCTCTGCACCTTCCCTGCTACTGGAACCATTTTTGTATTAATTGATAACTGGAGATAAAAAAGAAGAGTTTACTCTTTAAAATTTTAGCAGGGAGGTAAAGAAAAACTCTTCCCCTTTTTGTTCCAAGTAAGAAAATAAAAAAATCAAAAACAGCAATTTAAAATGAGAACTGCTGAAGCATTTAGGTTGTACCTGTCATTGGTTCCAGAGAAGGTGTGAATATAGAATATAGAACTGGGTTGGAAAGAATTGAATTCTTCACTCATCAACCTTCTGCGCCAGGTGAATTTGGGGGGAAAGGTGAAGGATAGAGCTAAAATGGGAAGTGAACTAAGCCAAGGGACTGGATGTCCTCATTCTCCAGCCTCTGGGGAGCTTCTCCATTCCCCAGCCCAGGGGAATCCTGCCAGGCTGTGCTGTGACCCCTCCCAGCCACTGTTTACTCCTTGGTGTAACACCACAGCCTGCTCTGGCCTCCCACGTGCCTCTGAACAGAGCATTCCTCACCTGAAATGCATTTTAAAGCCAAGCAGAAGGTCTGCAGCCAGCAAGGAAACCAGTCTTACCTCTGGAACAGAAATGGGACAGCAATCCTCAGGGAAGCAGTGTGGCCAAGGTTCTGACAGCTCCTAAGCCTGGAAAAAACCAGCACTAATTAATGCCTGGCTCCCCTTCCTGCCTTTTCTCCTTGCCCGTACTCAACTGTTGAATAAAACACTTCTGAAGGAAAAATCTTGGAAGTTGGCATGCTGAAAAAAATCCCTGCAAAGACTGAAATAAGTGCTGAAGTGCAAAATTCCCAGGTAACAAAGGCAGCCTGCTCCTTTGCAAACCTGGATCATTCCTCAGCAGGAACTGCAGGGGAGCTGCTGTTTCAAACCAATCCAGACATCATTTCCTTCTCCTTCACCAAAACCCCTGAATTTAAACCCCAACACGTTCAGGTTTCACAAAGCTCCTCGTGCTGTTGAGAAGTGTTTTGCTGAGTTGCTAAGTGTAACTTCGAAGTTCTAAGTTAGGTTAAACGCTGTTAAAAGTGTCATTCCCCTTACATCGTTAAGGTTCAGTTTTAAGCTAAGCTTAAGTTAGGTGTAAGTGTTGCTTCTTGGTTGAATTGTTAAGCTTAAGGTACAATTTAAAGTACTGTTAAGTGGGAGTGCTGTTAAGCTTTTAAGGCCGAGCTCCTTTTTATCTTTGCTGTTCCCTTTGTCCCACAGTGCCCTCGGAGGTTCTCGGTTCGTTTCCTTTTCTGAATGCCTGGATTATTTTCGGTTTTGTTCTTGCTTGTTTTCCTTTGTTGTGCCTAAGCTCTCCTGTAAGCAGTGGAGCAAATCTTGCCAACCAACTTTGTTGTTTAATTTTAAATCTGGCTTTCCCTTAGCAGGGATTTTTCAAGTCATCTCAAACTCTCATTCCCTGCTTAACTTTTCCCTCTCACATCCAACCTTTTCTTTTCCCCCAAATCCCACTTCTCCCTCTGTGTGTTCATCTTGCTCTCGCTGTGCTGCAGCCCAGGCAGGGATTTTTACTCTTTCCTCACCCCTAATAAACAAATCCCCGGGATTCTCTCAGGAACTCCCCTCCCCTGGAGGCAAGAAGGAAGATCCCCTCTCTCTGGGGGCCAGGTACTTACAGAGCAGGGTCTTTGTGCAGGGCAAGCTGTTTAGCTGCTCCCAGCAGCATGACAGCAGCAGCTTTGGGGCTTTCTTGTTCTGCCTGATTTAAAAATCTTGTTACCAGCTCGAAAACATCAGAATACCTGAGAAAGTCAAGTGGCCTGTAAGATCAAGGGTCTGCAACAACGGACCTCCTAAACAAGTGGTAATTGTGGCCACCCCACAGCTTGAGAGCAATTAAGATCCTTCAGAGGATCTCCAGCACGCTCAGGAGGTGCTGGCACAACCAACACTGTGGGTATTTTGAAGGTTTGATATACCAGTGTAAAGGTGAAACTCATTCTAAGAAAGAAATTAGTAAAAAATCACAGAATCCCTGAATGGTTTGGGTTGGAAGGAACCTTAAATCCCAACCCCAACGCCTCCCACTGTGCCAGGCTGCTCCCAGCCCTGTCCAGCCTGGCCTTGGGCATTCCCAGGGATCCAGGAGCAGCCTCAGCTGCTCTGGGAATCTCCTCAGGGCTCCCCTCCCTCCCAGGGAAGGATTCCTTCCCAATATCCCACCTAAAGCCACCCCAAAGCCCAGGCTTCAGGCTCCCACTTTCCCACGTTATAATAACCAGAGATCATCAGGTGTCCTGCACAACTCGGGAGATTTAAAGACACATTTAAGAGGGATTTTAAACTACAGCCAAATGCAATTTATCTTGCTGACCATGTACACTTTCTCCACTCTATTTTTGCTGTCCCACGTGCCACAATTTTGATTATAACTCATAAAATAAATCAAAGTTGCCCTGACAAACCCAAATCTGTTGTCACTTACTTGTACACCACCTCAAAGTTCTGTGAGCTGCAGACATTGCACTGCCCTGGAGGCAATTTTGGCTTGCAGCAGCATTCATGACCTGGGGGACACATCCTTTCTCCTCTCAGGTATGTGTTATAGGCTACAGAAAGTTCCCTGATGAATTTTTCTAGGAGATCTCCTGAGAGACAAGACAAAAAAAAAAAAAATTGCACAAAGAATTTTGCATGATTTTTTTCTAAAATCAAAAGAGAAAGTTCCCCATGTGAAATTATTTAGGAAAAAAAAAAAAGTTGCCTATGTGAAATTATTTAGGAAATTGTTTGCATCTAGTTTTATTGATCAGGAAAACTATGTTGCTGAAAGAGGGAAAATTTAGGTGGGATATTGGGAAGGAATTGTTCCCTGGGAGGGTGGGGAGGCACAGGGTGCCCAGAGAAGCTGTGGCTGCCCTGGCAGTGCCCAAGGCCAGGCTGGAAGGGCTTGGAGCACACAGTGGGAGGTGTCCCTGCCCAAGGAAAGGGCTGGAATGAGATGGTTTTCCAGCTCCATTCCACCCCAAACCATTCTATGCTCCTCCCAGATGGAGAAAAGCAGAATCTGCACCTGCAAACCCATCCCTGGTCCAAGCATGGAAAAAGAAAGCAGGCACAGCAATTTACTCCTTAAAAACTCCCCAAGGATTGGAGTGGAGCAGCCAAGCTGTTCCCCAGACAGGACCTGAGCAGCCCCAGGTCCTTGCAGGGACAGAACACCCAGGACAGG